CTCCTATAGCAACAAATAAATCAAATTTTTCCTCAGGGATAATCCACCCTGCTGGTGATGAAAGCATGCACAAGTCTCTCTAATTCTTGAGTGGAAACAAAGCATCTAATTCTTGCAATATTTTTCAAATGATAGTATGCTGATTTAGTTAATGCTTTGACATGACTACTGAAACTATAGGTACTATAGAAGTCAATGGGGACTAGTAACTGTCTGGTTACACACATTCTTCAAAATATATTTAGTGTTCAGCACAAGAAAGAAAGAAATTAATACAGGTTTGGAACAACATTAGAGAGTATGATGTGTGTAATAGTGAATTATCCCTTTTAAGGACAAGCGGCAGCATGTTTACTATTAGGCCACTGTCACTTTAAGACCGACACGCATCTAATATACACGCATTTGGCAAGCACCCGATTTTCAAACGATTGCTTTCACTTTAGACATAACCAACTGTGTTTATGTAAACCTTGTATGACAAAAAGCACATGTTAAAAACAGTGTGAATTACGTTTAACCGGCAAGGCTTTACAACACATGTAAATAATGTGAACTTTTGTGCTGTGAATGTCAAGTCACATTTATTTATATATCGCTTTTTACAATACATATTTTTTCAAAACAGCTTTACAGAGATAACAGGAAAATAATGCAACAAAGTTTGTATCTATAAGAAAATAGCGTCACAGTCCAGCTTATGTAAGTTCAGAGATGGTTCATTTTTGTTGTTAAAAAGTTTAATTTATATATATATATATATATATATATATATATATATAGCGCCGCTCTGGAGAAAACCGTGATGTCATCGTTCAGCTCAGTTCAGTTCTTGTATAATATTAAATGAAATGTTAAATTTAATGTCCCCAACTAAGCAGGCCAATAATGTAACTCTACCTCTCCCTTGATGCGAATGTACTTTGCGCTGTACAGTATGTTGATACGGAGGCGTCAGAAGTGCAACTGATCCGGTTGGCGGCTGATAATATCAGGCGACTATTACACATCATTCATAGATCCAATTCTTATCCGGCTTCCTCCGCAGTCATTACGCTGGACGCGGAGAAGGCCTTTGATCGAATTGAATGAATGAGGCATTTACATAGCGCTTTCATATGTACTACTGTACACCCAAAGCGCTTTACAATCATATCAGGGGTTCTCTCCACAACCAGCACCAGTGTGCAGCTCCACTGGGATGATGCGACGGCAGCCACAGTACAACGGCGCCAGTGCGCTCACCACACACCAGCTATAGGTGGAGAGGAGAGAGAGTGATAGAGCCAATTCAGTGGATGGGGATTATTAGGAGGCCATGATTGGCAGGGGCCAATGGGTGGAATGTGGCCAGGACACCGGGGTTACACCCCTACTCTTTACGAGAAGTGCCATTGGATTTTTAATGACCACAGAGAGTCAGGGCCTCGGTTTAACGTCTCATCCGAAGGACGGGTGAGACGTTAAGCCCTATAAATACATTTATAATGAATCATCTGGTGAGCCAGGTTCTTAGATGCAGTGAAACATCTAGCCCATACCACATCCCAGTCAGGCTTAACTAAACCATCCCTTTCCCAGGAGTGCACAGCTGGAATATAAGTGTATTGCAATAAAATAATTGAATTATAGATCTTACTAGAGGGAGTATTAGGGTCCAGCCACTTCCACAGTGGATGTGGTAGTATGCTAGTGTTCCAAGGAACAACATAGGCTTTCAGGGCTGACCTCAGTCTTAAATATAGAAAAAAAGAAAATCCAGGTAAAGAAAACTCTGATCTTGATTCCTGAAATGACTTGATGCCTTTTTCACAGAAAATGTCATTCAAGGTATGAATACCGGAATCAGACCAGGCTTTAAAGACAAAAGGTTTGTTACCGGTACGCAGACAAGTATTGTGCCACAATGGTGTTATTTTGGTATATAAGAAGGGGCCTCCCATACTTTTCTCAACCTTTTTCCATACCTCAAGGGAGTACTCAACGATTGGTCCATATTTTTTTTATATTACTCCTAGTGTATTGTATAAGATGAAGGTTAGATCTGATCCATACTGTCATCTATGCACCACATCTACAGTAGGTTCTTATTTGCACATGTTTTGGGAATGCCCTACGGCGGTTCCTTTTTGGACTTTTGTAAGTAATGTTCTTTCGGATTGGACATTTGGATATACCACAAGACCCTTTGCTATTTCTTTCTCCGCTCTCCAGTTGAATGCTCAACAAAAAAGGACCTTATTGACAGCAAGCACTGCTGCCAAAAAGACTATTTTAAAGCTATGGATAGAGCCATCCATACCTACAACTTTCCTTTTCCTATCTTAATTTAGAGACATTGTATTGCTGGAAGGTACCACTGCCAAGGTCAACGGCGCAAAGGACAAGACTATTCAAAGCTGGGCAAAAATCGCGGATAATTTGTCATATAACCTGAGATTTTGACATACTACATTTCCCTCTCTCCCCATTTCCCTCTCTCCCCAACTGAAAAGTATGAGCATGTATAGCACTCAATACTTATTTGGGGCTCCTTTTGCCTGAATTACTGCAGCAATGCGGCGTGGCATGAAGTCGATCAGTCTGTGGCACTGCTCAGGTGTTATGAGTGCCCAGGTTGCTCTAATAGTGGCCTTCAGCTCTTCTGCATTGTTGGGTCTGGCGTATCGCATCTTCCTCTTAAGAATAACCCATAGATTTTCTAGGGTTAAGGTCAGGCGAGTTTGCTGGCCAATTAAGAACAGGGATACCATGGTCCTTAAACCAGGTACTTGTAGCTTTGGCACTGTGTGCAGGTGCCAAGTCCTGTTGGAAAATGAAATCTGCATCTCCATAAAGTTGGTCAGCAGCAGGAAGCATGAAGTGCTCTAAAACTTCCTGGTAGATGGCTGCGTTGACCTTGGACCTCAGAAAACATAGTGGACCAACACCAGCAGATGACATGGCACCCCAGACCATCACTGACTGTGGAAACTTTACACTGGACTTCAAGCAACGTGGATTATGTCCTCTCTTCCTCCAGACTCTGGGACCTTGATTTCCAAAGGAAATGCAAAATTTACTTTCATCAGAGAACATAACTTTGGACCACTCAGCAGCAGTCCAGTCCTTTTTGTCTTTAGCCCAGGTGAGACGCTTCTGACGCTGTGTCTTGTTCAAGAGTGGCTTGACACAAGGAATGCAAGAGCTGAAGCCCATGTCTTGCATATGTCTGTGCGTGGTGGTTCTTGAAGCACTGACTCCAGCTCAGTCCACTCTTTTTGAATCTCCCCCACATTTTTAATGGGTTTTGTTTCACAATCCTCTCCAGGCTGCGGTTATCCCTATTGCTTGTACACTTTTTTTTCTACCACATCTTTTCCTTCCCTTCTTCTCTCTAATAATGTGCTTGGACACAGAGCTCTGTAAACATCCAGCCTGTTTAGCAATGACCTTTTGTGTCTTGCCCTCCTTGTGCAAGATGTCAATGGCCGTCTATTCGACTGCTGTCAAGTCAGCAGTCTTCCCCATGATTGTGTACCCTACAGAACGGGACTGAGAGACCATTTAAAGGCCTTTGCAGGTGTTTTGAGTTAATTAGCTGATTAGAGTGTGGCACCAGGTGTCTTCAATATTGAACCTTTTCACAATATTCAAATTTTCGGAGATACTGATTTTGGGGTTTTCATTAGTTGTCAGTTATAATCTTCAAAATTAAAAGGAATGAACACTTGAAATAAATCAGTCTGTATGGCAGGAATATACAATTTTCACTTTTTGAATGGAATTACTGAAATCAACTTTTTGGTGATATTCTAATTATGGCATTTAAACGCATTTAAACGATGCCCAATTGGCACTAAGGGGCCTAAAGTGTGCCAAGAAAACATCCCCCACACCATTACACCACCACCACCAGCCTGCACAGTGGTAACAAGGCATGATGGATCCATGTTCTCATTCTGTTTACGCCAAATTCTGACTCTACCATCTGAATGTCTCAACAGAAATCGAGACTCATCAGACCAGGCAACATTTTTCCAGTCTTCAACTGTCCAATTTTGGTGAGCTCTTGCAAATTGTAGCCTCTTTTCCTATTTGTAGTGGAGATGAGTGGTACCCGGTGGGGTCTTCTGCTGTTGTAGCCCATCCGCCTCAAGGTTGTGCGTGTTGTGGCTTCACAAATGCTTTGCTGCATACCTCGGTTGTAACGAGTGTTAATTTCAGTCAAAGTTGCTCTTCTATCAGCTTGAATCAGTCGGCCCATTCTCCTCTGACCTCTAGCATCAACAAGGCATTTTCGCCCACAGGACTGCCGCATACTGGATGTTTTTCCCTTTTCACACTATTCTTTGTAAACCCTAGAAATGGTTGTGTGTGAAAATCCCAGTAACTGAGCAGATTGTGAAATACTCAGACCGGCCCGTCTGGCACCAACAACCATGCCACGCTCAAAATTGCTTAAATCACCTTTCTTTCCCATTCTGACATTCAGTTTGGAGTTCAGGAGATTGTCTTGACCAGGACCACAGCCCTAAATGCATTGAAGCAACTGCCATGTGATTGGTTGATTAGATAATTGCATTGATAAGAAATTGAACAGGTGTTCCTAATAATCCTTTAGGTGAGTGTATATGTAAAAATACCAATCTACTCCACTTGACTGCAATGAGTTGGTGGTCTTTTATTTTAACTGATGTGTCAATCTTGGCCACAAGTCTTCACTTGATACAAATGCAGGTGTCCTACATTCACATGCGTATAAATGGAAGTCATGGAAGAAAGTCTAGTGTGACCAGCTTTTAATAAATTAAGAAGTTTAGTAAAGAAAATTAAATGGCTATCTAAAAGTTTGTGCCATTATTATGGCAGTATTCTCTATTCTTTAATGTTACATTAGGTAATTGTGTCGTTGGTCAAATAAAATTGTAGTTCTCACTACAGAAACATGGGATATGTGCCTATAATGTTCAATAACTGGAAGATTTGCCAAAAATGACTTTTTTTCCCTTTCATTTCAGAGCTGATGGAAGTGAAGGAGGAGACTGAAGAACTGAGTGAAGTGATGGAGGAGAGAGAAGAACTGAGTGAAGTGAAAGAGGAGAGAGAAGAACTGAAGGAGGAGAGAGAAGAACTGAGTGAAGTGAAGGAGGAGAGTGAAGAACTGAGTGAAGTGGAGGAGGAGAGAGAAGAACTGAGTGAAGTGAAGGAGGAGAGAGAAGAACTGAGTGAAGTGAAGGAGGAGAGAGAAGAACTGAAGGAGGAGAGTGAAGAATTGAGTGAAGAGGAAAATGTTAAACCTGGGAAAAAAACGTCGAGTCGCTCAAAGACTAAAAAGACATCTTTAAAGAAAAGAGACAATAATTCTACAACCTGCACTCAGTGTGGAAAGAGTTTTGTATATAAACAAGGTCTTGTGATTCACATGAGGATCCACACCGGAGAGAAGCCGTTCTCATGTGATCACTGCGGGAAGAGCTTTGCATACAAACAAAGTCTTCAGCTTCACATGAGTGTTCATACTGGAGAGAAGCCATATGCATGCCATCAATGTGAGAAGAGTTTCTTGCGATCATCTCACCTTAAGAAACACATGAGAGTTCACACTGGAGAGAAGCCGTTCACATGTGATCAGTGTGGGAAAAGGTTTCCATACAGAGAAAGTCTTATTGTTCACATGAAGAGACACACTGGAGAGAAGCTGTTCACTTGTAATTGCTGTAAAAAGAGATTCTCAAGCAAACAACAACTAGAGGTTCACTTGAGAGTTCATACTGGAGAGAAACCGTTCACATGCACTCAGTGTGGGAAGAGTTTCTCACACAGAGAAAATCTTAAAGTTCACATGAGGATCCACACTGGAGAAAGACCGTTTACATGTGATCAGTGTGGGAAGAGTTTCACACAATTGGTACAACTTAAAGGGCACAGGAATATCCACACCAGAGAGAAGCCTTACACATGTAATCAGTGTGGGAAAACGTTTCTTTGGGCGTTAGCCCTGAAGACACACCTGACAGTTCATAAGAAGGAGAAGCCGCATTCATGTTCTGTGTGTGGAAAGAGTTTTTCACTGCTGCCATATTTACATAGACATGAGAAAACTCATTCTGGTGTGAGAGATCATGTGTGCTATGAGTGTGGGAAGACTTTTATTTCATTGGCCTTTTTAAAACTGCACCAGAGAATTCACACTGGAGAAAAACCTTACAAGTGTTCACACTGTGACAAGAGATTCAGTCAGCCATCAAATCTGAAAACACATGATAGGATCCACACTGGAGAGAAGCCGCACACGTGTGATCAGTGTGGAAAGAGATTCTCTGTCAAAGTTCAACTACAGCTACACGTGAGGATCCACACTGGAGAAAAACCTTACAAGTGTTCACACTGTGACAAGAGATTCAGTGTGTCGTCAACTCTGAAAACACATGAGAGGATCCACACTGGAGAAAAACCTTACAAGTGTTCACACTGTGACAAGAGATTCAGTCAGTCACAACATCTGAAAACACACAAGAGGGTCCACACTGGAGAGAAGCCGTACACATGTGATCAGTGCGGGACCAGTTTCGCTATTAAACGCAACCTGGATCAACACATTAAGATCCACACTGGAGAAAAACCTTACAAGTGTTCACACTGTGACAAGAGATTTAATCTGTCATCAACTCTGAAAAAACATGTAAAGACCCACAGTAGAGAGAAGCCGCACACGTGTGATCAGTGCGGAACAAGTTTCTCTTTTAAAAGTCACCTGAAGCTACACATGAAGATCCATTCAGTGTAGAAGCCACTTAACCCTCTGGGGTCGGCTAATTGCGCCGGCGCGATTGTCTCTCTTTTTTTCTTATCAGTGCAAAAGAGATTCAAATAACTCAGGCAAATGATACAGGCAAGTGTTATACATCATTCAAAATAGTTAAATGTCTACTTTTATTTGTGTACACTAATAATAAAAACAAAATGTGTTTTTCGTAAAATAAAGAAAATAAACATGATGTGCGTTCTGTCGTCTCTCTCAATGTGAAGTTCATTCTGAAACGCGACAGAAAATGATCTTTAACTCAGCAAATACTTGCCACCCACACGTGAGAGTTGTCTTTACAAAGCTTTAAGTCTCCATTGTTAAATGATGTAAATCATACCAAAAACAAATATTCTCTGTTTAAGTGATCCGTATGAAAGCAACAACATGTACAGTTTCTTCAGCCCGAGCTCATTAGATCTAATGTGACAACGCCCACGCGCGCGAGCTGTTCAAATTCAAATTATCCACTTGAAGGAACGCAACGCCCTCATCACCTCTAAACAAAGAATCGCGACTTCAGTCCTGCTCTGCTTTTCGTAGAGTTTGGAAGTGTTTGGTCTTTGCACCTTGGATTAACCTCAGAAGAATTAGAAGAACACGATTTGATTATGAGAACGATTTTTAAGGTAAGATACATAATAAGCGTCTTATGGTTGTATATACTTTACATTGTAGCTACTAGTTAAACTGGTGCCAGACTAAAATGTTATGAAATGAGATTGGAGTGAATATACATGTACACACAAGAATGTTTTTATCTTCGATAATTAAACACAGCATGATATAAAGTGTGCTTATTCTTCAATGGTGAATATTATAATGTTTAGACCCGTGTTTACTGTCTAATCGGTTAATGGTTTCTGAGAAGCCAGTGAAGAGTCTTGGGAGATGGTACGATGGGGATCTAAAGGACACAGTTCAGGTGGGAGAAGTTAGACGACAAGCAGTGGAAGGGTTGAAGAGCATAAACAGCTGTGCTCTACCTGGCAAACTAAAACTCTGGTGCTTTCAGTTTGGTCTACTGCCGAGGTTGCTGTGGCCACTGACTGTGTACGACGTTTCTTTGCAACAGTGGATAAGCTGGAAGCGGTGATAAGTTCATACATCAGGAAATGGTTGGGAGTTCCACGCTGCCTCAGCAGAGTGGGACTTTATAGTAAAGGAATATTGCAGCTGCCAGTCTCTGCTTTAACCGAGGAGTTTAAGTGTGCCAAGGTCAGACTGGAAATGACCTTAGTAGAGTCACGCGACAAATGTGTAAGGGACGCAGCCCCTGTGTTAAAAACTGGTAGGAAGTGGTCAGCAAAGAAATCTGTGGTAGAGGCAAAGGCTGCCCTTCAAATTGGGGATATCGTGGGACAGGGACAGCATGGAAGAGGGGGGTTTGGGCTCTGTTTAGCTCCTCCTAAATGGCACAAGGCAAGCCCAGCTCAAAGGAGGAAGCTGGTAGTCAACGAGGTGCGAAAGCAGGAGGAGAGGATGAGGTGTATAAAGGCCATTTCCCAGGCCAAGCAGGGAGAGTGGATGAGATGGGAGAGTGTGGAACAACACAAGATGGGCTGGCAAGACCTTTGGTCAATGGAGGAGAGTAGGATCAGTTTCCTTATCAGGTCAACATATGATGTTCTCCCATCACCGAAGAACCTAAACCTCTGGGTAGGAGAGGATCCCTCTTGTCCTTTGTGTTCATCACCTGCCACATTAAGGCACATTTTGACCGGATGTAAGGTGGCTCTTAGCCAGGGTCGGTTTACTTGGCGCCATGACCAAGTAATGCGATGTTTGGCTTTAGCATTGGAAGGCAAGCGTAGTATGACCAATAAGTTGCTGCCTGTTCTAGCAAAACATTACACGCAGAAGACAATATTCCTCCGCCCAGGCGAGCAACCACCAAGAAAAGGTGTTAACACCAATTCTCGACCAGGACAACTGGAAGCTGCTAGGGACTGGAAGATGCTGGCTGATCTTGATCAACGGCTTATTTTTCCACCTGAGATTGCCACCACTAACCTACGACCAGATATTGTTTTGTGGTCTGGATCAGCACGCATTGTTCAACTGATAGAGTTAACAGTGCCATGGGAGGATGCGGTAGATGAGGCATATGAGAGGAAGAAACTGCGGTATGCTCATCTGGCCACTGAAGCAGAACAGCGAGGATGGAGAGTCCAGGTTTATCCAGTGGAAGTGGGTTGTCGAGTATTTGTGGGTGGCACACTCTACAACCCGGTTCCTCAGAGACGTCGGATTCAGTGGCCAAGAGTTGCGTCGCACAGTAAAGAACTTATCTGAAGCAGCAGAGAGGAGCAGCAACTGGCTATGGTTGAGACGGAAAGATTCTGGCTGGCTGTGTACAGGCCGCCAGGCTACGGTTTCATAGAATTCTTGAAAAACTCAGTCTGTTGGTTTATTTGTATGGTTTGCATAGTAATTACAGTTACTACGTTCCTGTGTATATTGCATGAATGAGGGGTGTTTGGGCAGATATTGTGTTTTGCGGTAGGTAGTATGCCATACGGAACCGTTGCCACTGAAACTGCATTAACGCACCAGTGGGGCTCGACAGCCTTAGTCAAACGGGTTGGCGCGTATGGTTGGGTTGCGGTGAGATTGTGGTTAGGTCACACATGAACTACGAGGAAGGAGCAACCTCAGCAGCAGGAAGGATGTAAAGGTCAGTAAGCTGGGCTGAGTTGAGTGGGGGATGGAGGGGGGTGACTCTGGGACGAAAGAGTCACTGTCGAGCCCTCTTGAGGTGTCGTGGGCTAGTCGACGAAACACTGGGTGCTTCTCATTTTTTATTTGTGCATCCTCGTTTCCTTTCCTCGCTTCCTTCCCTCGCGTCTCAGCTCCACCCCCTGCAGGATGCGAGGGAAGGCTGCAAGAAAAGAAAATGAGGACAGAGGAATCGAATGAAAGTTTTTTTTATACTTTGGAATACTTGACCACTCTAGCGTCACTTCACTGCGTCATCAGCAGCGCTCAAAGGATCTGCCCTTATGTTGTTGAAGTTTGGTTATTTAAGAAATTACTAATAAATAATAATAAAGCAAGATACCCTGTTGAAAAATGTGAGATGTGTGGTTTATATAAACTGTAATGGTAAAGTATAAATTAACTCTCTGGGGTCGGCGGTCTCGCCGGCGATACCAGCTCACTTTTTTCCTTATCAGTGCAAAAGAGACTCAAATTACTCTGTTAATTTTGATCTTACATATAAGTGTTGTACATCATTCGATCCTGTTAAGTTTGTATTTTTTTTGTGGAACCTCATAATAAAAACAAAGTGTTGTGCTTTTCGCCTAATAAAGAAAAATAAACATGAAGCGCGTTCTGCGTTCTCTCTGTCAGTGAAGTCCATTCTGAAACGCGTCCGAAAAATCATCTGTAACTCTGCAAATACTCAGTCAAACAGGTACACAGGCACACAGGCATGAAGCCTGAATTATCTTCTTTTAAATGAAGTAATTTATATAAAAAATTTTTTTTTTTTTTTTTTATGTAATCTGTACGAAAAGAGAGATGATAGTCGTTCTCGTCTCAGCTCATTAAAGTTAATTTGACCACGCCCACGGAGCGCGCGCTCTATTCAAACACAAACGCTCTGAGGCGATCCACGCCCACATCAGCTGGAAAACCCACCGAAAGAGACTCAGATTTACGACGCTGTGAGGAATAATACTATCTTAATAATAATCCTGGAAAAAATTACCTCAGAAGTAGGCTACAGGTAGTTTCATTTGGAGGAGCAACGGATCCAGCCGAGGAAATAGGTACATTCTTTATTTTCAAGTGCTTTGTGCTAATCGCGATATGGAATAGTGTCTGTAAACAAAAAGACTGTTTGAATCGCGTTTTTGTGTGTGAATGAATGAACAGCTTTTACCTAAATATATTCCAATACTGAGATGAGTAAAAATCGACTGAAATATGTTAAAATACAATATTTTTGTATAAGCAACGTATTAAACTGCAAATTAACATTTATATGTCCTAATCATAAAAACGATATGTTACATATGAAAGACAAGATGTCGTTTTTACTGTAAAATACTGCCACATCAAATAAGCTTGTTGCTAAGATGTTATTATAGTGTTTGTTCGATTGTAAGCTATATTCAAACTAATTAATCCGCAACTGTGAAATATGTATGATAAAATGTATACTTTAGTATATAATACAAAGAAAGATTACATTTGAAATATAGTTAAAATTTTAATTGTTGTTGTAATTGTAACCTTTTTATTAAAATATCAAAAATATATGTAGGCTACATATAAATAAATCTTAGGTAAATCTTAAAAGCTCAATATAAGCCTCCTCTTTAAATTATTTGTATTGTGTTTTATTAGTGACACATTTGGGATACATTCCCAAACTTTCTGTAAAACAGTATGATAATTAACTGCACAATTACTAGAAATTTTTACATTTGATATTATACAATTTGCAAGCACAATTTGAAAAATAAATAAATAATTGGAACTGTGAACCAATTTTGTATTATATAGGCATATATATATATATATATATATATATATATATATATATATATATATATATTGTCATTGCATTCTTGTGGCTCAGTGACACACCTGAATGAAAGGGTCATTAGTATGCAGCCCCATTATGCGCTCATTATGCGGGCCCATTGTCTTCTCAGGTGTGAATCACAGCAGGTCACACCCCTGCGCATATTGCCTTTCCAAACAAAAAGTGTCATTTTTAAATTTAAACCAATCTATTGTGTTATGTGAATGATAAGGCAGGATGATTTTCAGATCATTTTGAAGAAAAAACTCTAGGCGACAACATCCATTAGTCAAAAGTCTTGTGGACACATATTTAGTATGTGTTTTGTGGCCTTATTTCAGAAACTTTAAGTTTTAGTTTTTTCAATAACCACGCATAAACAATATTCTCTCAAAAATACAAAAATGTACATACATGTTGATAACACATTATGGTAGCCCTGTGT